CCCGGTGCTGCCCGTTGTGCTGCAGCGGGACGGGCTGGAGCTTCGGTCCCAGCGTGGTTGGCCGTGAGACCCCGGCACTAGCACCTGTCACACGCCTGGCCTCGCTGGACGTGGGGCTTCTCACAGGGCGCTCCATGCCACATGGCCTCACGTTCCTTGGAAGGTGAAGTTTGGTAATGCTTTTGGTGAGAGAGAGAGAGAGACAGAGAGAGAGACAGAGAGAGAGAGAGACAGAGAGAGAGAGAGACGCCCTCAGCAGGTCCACCCATCCCCTTCCCCAGCCCTTGGGCTGGACAGGGCCTTGGGCACAGGCGCCCACACCGCATGCTCCCGGGCTGACCGGGGACTTGGACCCGCAGCCGCCCGCGTGGTTCCCAGTGCTGCGTGTGGACAGCTGCTGACCGTACCTGGGCTGGGCTGATGGTTTCCTTTTTCCTAAACGACTTGCAAATAAAGTCTTTGAAAATAAAAGTCGTCGGGCCAACCACATAGCCTAGAAGCTAAGGGAGCTGGACCCCGCGGGGCCGAGCGAGGGTCGAACCCAGCCCTGGCAGCCTGTGTGCGCCCGAGACCTCACAGGCTGGTGCGTGGAGGGGTTGTCCGTGGCTGGCCGCTGGGCGCTTTCTCCCTCCCCCTTGCTGTCTCTGGTAAGCACACATGCCAAAATAAATAAAATAAAATAAAGAACTGTCGGGCTGTCTGGGAAGTTCAGGGTCAGAAGCTGCCGAGGGCCGCTGCACAGACACCGGAGGAGCCCAAGCTGGGGGGCTGCCCTGGGAGCTCAGGGGTGCCTGGCAGGGCCTGTGCAGGGCCCCGTGTTGGAGCTCAGGCTCACAGATGGGGAAACTGAGGTAAAGCAGCCTGCCTGGGTCTCCGCCATACTGGCAGGGGCGGGGTTCTCAGTGCCCTGCAATTGTCTGTAATGAAGGGCACAAAAGGTCAGGATGCTGGTTCTGGGGAGAAGGACTGCGGTGGCCACGGCCCCGCCTTTCTACCCTGCCAGCCGTCCCAGGGGCGGCATGGAACTCGGCGCGGTCAGGGCCGGAGCGCGCTCAATGGCTGCAGGACAGGTCCGACAGCGCCTGCTCCCTTGTCCCGGGGCCTGTGCCATGAGGAGGCTCAGAGGGCGGTGGGTGGGCACTGTGGTCGGGCTGGCCCCTCCCTGGGTGTGGGCGTCCCGGAGAGTCTGAGCGGTCGCCGTCAAGCTTGCCTAATGACATCCTCCGGGTGACTGAACCGCGCGCCCCCGCCCTCGCTCAGAGTATAAACCCAGGTGCTCCGGCGGAGGTGTTGGGAGCCCAGACTCCGCCATGGTGGCCAGGCTGCTGAGCGCTGCCCTGGGAGTCCTCGTGATGTTCCGGATGCAGGCCGAGGTGGCCACGCTGAACCTGGACCGGCAGAAGGTGGCTTCTCCATAGCTCGAAGGCACCTGCTGGCGCTTGGGGGCCCCCATCCCTCAGCCCCCGCTGGTGCTGCAGCCCCTACCCCAGGGTCCTCAGGGCCTAGCCAGTGCTCTTCGCGCGAGCCGGCCACCGAGGTCCTGGTGAGCCTCCTCTGCCAGGGAGCCCTCCTGGGATCTCTGTGGGTAGGTCTGTGCTGAGCAGGTGGTCCCTGGGACCTTTGGGGGTTGGGGGTCCCGGCACAGTTCCTCCTGCACCCCCGGCTATGGGTGCTGTGGGCAGGGGGCTTTTCCTGGCGTGGAGACCCCTCTGGGGCTTCGAGCCCCTCCTGGAGGCTTCTGGCTGGTGCGCCTTCTGCAAGGCGGCCTGGGCCGGGCATGGCTGAGGCCGAGTGGCAGGACTGAGACACGGGTCCTGCCCGAGGCACGGCCTCCCAGACGCTCAGAGGACGTTTTGGCTCCGGCTTTGCTGGCGGCAGGCGGCACCCTTTGTGAGGCCCTGGTTGTCCTCCAGGCCCCGACTGCCCCCTGGTTCCTGTCCCCAAGGACGGGCAGGGCCTGCTCGCCCTTTCCAAGTGCCTGGTTCTCCTGGGGGAGGGAGGTGCGCCCTGTTGGGAATGGCCGCCCGACAGCCTGCAGGGGTCCTTGGAGGACGGCAGGGGCCAGGGTGCTCGGGGAGCGGGCCACCCAGCCACCCTGCCTGTGTCTGCTGGCAGCCCTGCGGGCCCGGGGCGGGGTCCGGGCGGCTGCTCGAAGCCAGGAAGGCCGGGACCTCTCTAGATTCTAGGATTCTGGCGGGAAGTCGGTGTGGCCTCTGACCAAAACCTGGTGCTGAAGGCCCCGAAGAGGGTGGAGGGCTTGTTCCTCACCCTGAGCCAAGGCAACCTGACAGTGACAGTCGCATACAACAAGTAAGAGGCCGGGGACCTGCTGGGGGGCTGTGGGCAGGGAAGCCCGTGTGGCCAGGGACCTGCCGGCGCAGGCCTGGCTACATCAGCTGAGTGTGCGGTCTGGGCTCTGCATCCTCCCGGGTGGCCAACCTCCCCGTGGCCACCCGGGACTCCGACCCCCCAGGGAAAGCCAGTCTCCTCACCTCGTGGGTCTCCAGCGCCGGACCCAGTTGTCAGGGTCGCCCTGGACACCCTCAGGCGCTCCTTTGCAGAAAGGGCATTTCTCTCTTCCTCTTTCTTCTTTCTTTCTTTCTTTCTTTCTTTTTTCTTTCTTTTTTAAAGAAAGACTTTTTACTTTAATTAATTAATTTATGTATTTGCCCCAGAGGGACAGAGTGTGAGAGAGCGAGAGAGACAGAAAGTGAGAAAGCCACCAGGTTCAGGACTCAAATTGTGGTCAGCCATGCGAGAGTCCAGCGCCTTTAACCCCCATGCTACCTGCCAGCCCCTCTTGTTTTTTCTTTTTCTTTTTTTTTCCTGAGAGATTTTTGCTAAAGGGTATGAACGCTTGCCAGAGAGACAGAGAGAAAAAGAGCGAGGATTCACCCCCTAGAAGTGATGGCCACACCGCAATCCCTTCTCCTCTATTCTCCTCTTGGGATTTTGGGCACGTACGCACATATATCCGGTGTGAATTTTAAGCTGCCGAGTCTGGGACTCGAACCGCAGTCGACTCTGTGGAGGCCAGAGACGTCGACTATGTGGAGTCCAGCGATGTAACCATTATGTCATCTGCTGGTCCCTCTCTTTTCTTAAGAATTATTTTATTTAACTTTATTTATTTATTTTAAAAAATTTGACCAGAGAGGGAGAGAGAGATAGAGAGAGAGCAAGCAAACCACCAGGTCCAGGACACGAACCGTGGTAGGCCATGTAATAGTCCAGTGCACTTAACCACTGTGCCACCTGACCACCCTCCCCTTTCTTCTCTTCTGAAAGAATGAGAGAGACAGGCAGCCCTCAGAGAGCCGACTGCCTCTCTGCTGGCCTGGTTATGCCGCGGCACGTGCAGTCCTGGGGTGCACCAGGAGGCCCTGGGGTCTTCCTCCGTGGGCCAGCTGCATCACTGCTTGGCCCTAAGAGCAGAGCTTTGATAAGCCCCGACAGTTATAGAAAAGGTGATGGGGCTGGCCCATGGAAGACAACGGTTAAGTCCGTGCCCAGAAAGCTGGACTGAAAAACACCCCAGGCACGTGTGAGGGAGTGCTCCGAGTCCAGACTGCATAGCCACTGGGAAGGGTGGCTGTGACCAGGCCCCGTGGGGTGCTTTCCAGCCCTCTCTCTGGCAAGTGCACACACCCACTGGCAGTATGAACACGTGAGACTTTAACAGGAGAGCGGGTGTAGGGCAGCTGGCTTGCCGGAAGTGGCAGAGCCCTGTGGGAGGGGCTGGCGGGCCCTGTCTGTTTGCCTGCCTCATCCTGCCCTGGCCAGAGGCTCCCGGATCACCCGCCGCCCCACCACCCTCAAGGACGTGCTGCAGATGGGACACGGCCGGCATTTTCTTTTCTTTTCTTTAGTTTTTGCCATAAGGGGCATGTGCTCATTGGAGAGAGACAGAGAGGCAGAGAGGGAGGGTGAGAGATCACCCCCAGGGAGAACGGCCACGCTGCAACCCCGTCTCCATTCTCTCCTGGGATTTCGGGCCCGCATGCACATGTGCCCGGCGTGATTTTTAAAACACCGGGTTTGGGACTTGAATCGCCGTCGGTTATGGGGAAGTCCAGTGCCTTAAGCAATAGGCCGCCTGCTGGACCCGGTTTGTCATTCTCTAATGGGCGCTTTGCGGTTGCTTAGCTCAGGACGCTGCGAGACAGAACACGTGGTGGGCTCGGAGAACAGGTCAGGGAGGTTCACCTTCCCTGGTGAGTGCTGCCCTGCGGCTGGCCTGGCTCTGCGCGGGCCCCTGCATCTCCAGGCCTCCCGGCTCTCCCACAGCTGCTCCACCCCCCGCCCAGGGCACCACAGGAGGTGGGGGTATGGGTGGAGACAGGCTGGAGCTAGCCCCTGCACCCCGCCTCGAGGCCTGGCCTGGGAGCACGGGAGGCTGCAGAGGGCCTCCCACAACCCCCTGACTCTCCAAGGGCAGAGAGAGATCCTCGTGCTCGACACGGACTACGAGCATTTCCTCATCCTGAGGGTGTCCCTGCTCTGGCGGGGCAAGCACTTCCACGTGCTCAAGTACTTGAGTAAGCATGGCCTGGCCTGGCTCTGCCCCGCCCC